TTAACTAATTATCTGACATGAAATATAAACTAGCTGGTTTATATGAATATCTTATATTTTCAATAATTTCTGCTAGAATACCTTTTTTTTTGTTTTTTCTAGAATGACTTCAAATTGTAACATGAAACTACATTTGTTTATCCTAAGTAGCTTTAAGCTTGTAACAGCATATATCTTTTTATAATTACATTATGTAATTAAATAATGTACTAAATAACATGCAAAAAGCAGACAATTTTCCCTCTCTCAAAATTTTTCTGGCTTTCTAACTATACAACAAAAACCATCACAAGTTCATCCAAGCTAGTCATTAACATTCCCATGGAATAAACTGGGTATTATAAGTGAAATTGACATTATCTGTTCTGAACACAATTTGTATAATACATCATTTGAGTAATGCAAATATTCACTTTCTATTGGTTAAAGATGATATATAATTAAATATAAGAGAGAACTATTAAAAAATCCTGAAAAATTAGATGTGACAGGTGTGGCAGAAGGAGTCTGATTTTCTATTTGATAGCTCTGTAACCAGGTTTGTTTGAGCAATTATGATTTTGTATTGAGTAATTTATGTTTCATTTCATCGTTACAGGGTGGTGGTGGATAAAATAGAAAAGAGAAGATACCAAGAGAAAATGTGTCACGTTTGTAACACTAGGTGAAATTCATGATTTTTTAAATATTGCTTTAAAACTTATATACTATTCAAATATGGATTATTAGCTAAGATTTTATGCTATATATATTGGTATAACATAAATAAAAAGTAGTTTAATAAAAATTCTGAATGTAAGACAAAAACTTGTAACATGCCCAGTAAAGGATACTTGTAAGGCTAGAAATAAACAATCTTCAGCTTCCCAAGCCTCATTTCATCCCCACCTCATGTCTAAGTGGTCGGGCTAAGTTCAGTGCCATGTAGGCAATTTATTTTTGCCATTTTTTGCGGCTCTTTGTAATTACCCTTAGATAGCAGTATGTATTTGAAATGTAAAGAATCTCCAAATGTAAGTGAGGCAAATAAAAGGCATAAAGTTATGACATTAGCTGAGAAAATTTAGATCCTTTATAAGGCAGGATGAGTGTAGCATCCATTAGTAGGAGTGAAGAGAAAATTTGTGCAAGTGTTAAGGCTTCTGCCCCTATAAGCGCTAAGGTTTCTCAAGTGCCTAGGAGGAATCCGTTCATGGAAAAAAATGGAGAAATTATTGAACATGTGGATCAGTGAACAAAAAAGGCTCTGTTGTTGATAGCATAACTATATGTGAGAAAGCACATAGTTTGTAAGAATACATAGTCTCCAATGAGGGTGTAAGTGCTGCGGACATCAATGAGTTTCAGGCAATTAAAGGCTGGTTTGCCAAATTTAAGCAACGCTTCAATCTGCATAATGTGAAGCTGCAAGGTGAAGCTGGGTCAACCAATAGCGATGCAGCTGAATGGTTCAAGTCGTGGTTCCTTGAACTCATTAAGGAAAAAGGATATGCCTTTAAAAATGGTGTTTAATGCAGATGAGAAAGGGCTCTTTTATAAGATGGGCAACAAGACATACGTCACCAAGGAGCAGAAGGTAGCATCTGGGTTTAAGGCCTTTAAGGATAGGCTCTTTTTGTTTTTTGTGGGAATACATCAGGTGACTGTAAATGCAAGCCTATGTTAGTGTATCACCCCACAAACCCACGAGCATTAAAAGGCAAGAATAAGTGACATTTGCCTGTTGTTGGTGTTCAAATAAAAAGGCTTGGGTAACTAGGATGCTATTCAACAACTGGTTGCAATATCATTTTGTGCATGAAGTTAAAGAATACCTGGTGAACAAAAACCTCGACTTTAAGGTTCTTCTAATTTTGGATAATGCTCCTGTCCATGACCCTGACACACTGCAATTCAATCATCCTAACGTGGAGATAATGTTTTTGCCTCCTAATACTACACCCATCCTGCAACTTATGGACCAAGGAGTAATAAAGATACAGGGAATGTCTACCGACGTGCAACCCAAGCTATAGACTCCAGTGTTTTTGAAAACATAAGAAAGTTTTGGAAATCTTATAACATTAAAGACTGTATCAATATCACCAAATGTTGTGGGATGATGTGAAAGAGTCTACCATAAATGCCTGCTGGCTTCATCTTTGGCCTAAAGTTGTGAATGATTTCAATGTCTTTCCGACAGTTGAGAAGGAAGTTGCAGATATTATAAGACTCGCTAAAGATATCGGAGGTGATGGGTTTGATATGTAAGATGAGGAGGTGGTTGAGCTGCTGGAATCCCATTACCAAGAGCCAACAAATGAAGAACTTGAAACTCTGATAGCCTCTAGTGATAGTGATGAAGATGCTTAAAAGACGTAACCTGCTAAACCCATCCTCACACAGCGAAGGCTGTGTCTGATTTCGTAGGCAAGGCAGATAAGGTCGCAGAAATGGCTGTAAATATGGATCCCATAATGGAGGGAAGCATTAAAATTTAAAAAAGGATTTAATGACATTCTAGCACCCTACAAGGAAATCTTGAAAGAGTTGCGGAGGAAAGCCAAACAGCTGAAAAGCTCCGACTTTATTAAGCCCAAGTCAGCCAATGTAACGCCTTCTGACTCCATCCCATCAACTTCTACATCTGCTTCATTGGAGTTTGAGGCCAAATTTTCTGATGATACATTGGCCTTAAACTAACCTCTCAGTCTCTAAATCTATTGCCATCATCACCATCACAAGTCTTCCTCTCATCAACAAAAGGTCTTTGTCTTCATCATTCATAGGTGAGTGTTACAATAAAATGCAGTACTGTATTATTTCACTTAACATACTTTCATTTACAGGTACAGGATATCACATGTGAATATTATTATGTTTAGGACTTTATATTTTTAGTTCATATACAATACTGTATAAGGTAGGGCTTTTCATTTATGTGTAAAAAAATCCATATATAAACATTTATTTGAGACTTACGGTGGCTATGTTCCCGTATCCCTGTTAATCCTATATGGTATTGAGTACCTCCAACACGGATTTGCCCAATATGGCTTGCTCGAGAAACATATCCCTCGTGTTGGAGGAGAGCCCATTGTACTTCTAAACTAAATTTTTATTTTAAAAAATTAATTAATAAATCTTCTAAGTTAATATTAAATTAAATTGAACATATAAGCAGTAAATATTAAATATATAACAATATTTTAAACAAATACAAAGGATGCTTTATAAATATTATGTAATATTATGTCACATATAGTCGGCAAGCCATTGCTACGAATTGAATTAGCTGAATATACGAGATAGCACAGGCTAGCCTAATTAAGTCCAAAACAATGTATATATAATTATATATATATATTTAAGATATAATCATATATAATATACAAATTATTATAAAATATATTTTCTATTAAAAATGTAGCGAATAGAGATTTGCACAAATGAAAATGTAGTGATGCTACCTGCAACCACTATGAATTTTAGAATGTAGTGTCAATCGATTAGTCGCTCCTAGAAACATAGCACTGCTACGTAAAACAAACTATTTATAGCAGCACTATGTCCAGCTCTAAATACTGCAATACCTTATAGGAAGTAATATTTCAAGTTTCTTCATAATAATCTTTTAATGATATGTTTTTGATAATTTGGTTATATTTTTTTCAGTTTTAAAAGTTGTTCTATTTAAGGAACACTAATTCTCCACAAAATGTCCAGAATATACCAAGAAGATAATTAAACAAGAGGCAATCCTCAATAGCTGTAGCGCTTGAAATTTTTTTAAGCAGGATTAGACTATATTAACGTACGAGACTATTTTTTCCTTTTTATTAGCTATATTTTTGTGCACCAGCAATACCAAGGGTGAGGTTTGTACTTGAAAAAAACACTCAGAGCCATTCTATGATCTGCTATGCCTCAGTTAAAAAGAATGGAACTGTTTAACATTTTGCATTTTTTCTTGGTCAGGAGTTTATTTTCCAGTTTACAGAATTTTTTAGTAAACATTTTATTTCTATTGCTTGTGATTCTTTGAGATAATCTTTAACAATATTATTACTTTCTTGTACATGACCTGTCTGATCATACAGTTTTTGACTTGAAAAACAAATTGGTTTGAGGTACAACAGGCAAGCACTATTGCAGGGTGGAGGTAACATGATATAAATATTCACACACCATATGGGCTATAATAAACATTTATAATTAAAAAAGATTTCACTAAAAAGTTTCAGTCAGCATTTTAACCCTTTCCTCATTTTAGGTAATTTCTTGTACTATCGATATTTCATAAACCTTGTTTTGTTTCTTTTAAAAACATTATTCACTTGATGGAAAATTAGTGTATGCTCATATGAAGCTCTCTTCTAATCTCATACATTGAACCAAAACAACCAGTTCCTATTGCCACGTTCATGAGCATCAGCTACATATCAAATAATTGTAGCTTCATATCACATATGATACTCGAGCACTTTAGCATCATGTCCTGGGCATTATGTGATTCACAGGACAGGGATAGGGTTAAAGAGGAGCTTTACTGGGCAAAAATTTAATATTTTAAAACTTTGTCTGTATTTTCAAGATTAAATAAGCAACCTACCAAATGAGGCTTACCAATACAAGTTGAAATCAAATACTTTATTGCACACACACATACATATGTGAATGTTTTTACTTGTTGTTACCAATTTAAGCTTAATGTTTTTCTTTTATTCAACATGTAGTTATGGTAATTAACATTCTTGGAAGATAGAAGATCATAACTGTACAGTGCAATGAGCAATTTATTAAAATATGGAAGTTTTTACGTCATGACTGTCAAAATCGTTTGGTCAGTCAAATGGAAAATTTATGTAAATCAAATGCAGAATTTTAACATTTAGTTCTGATTTCACAATTTATAGCATCACATTTCAGAATATTTTCATTTCAAAATAATGAAAATACAGTACAACACAAGTTCTTATTAAAACATTTTATAGCACAAATCAGATACAAAATGAACCTACCAAGCTTTGTCAAAGGATAAGAGATGTTGAAAAACCTTTCATAGTATTCAAGGATTTTCACACAAGATTCCATGGCAAACACTGACTGGCTCATCTGGCCTTTTGGGACAATTACTTTCACCTGCAAAAATGTAAAGAAAAATAAACGTATTAGTAGCTACCTAGAGATAAATTATGCAATGAAAAAAATTACTAATTCAGTGTGAAGAACTTAAACTTTTCTTAAAGATGTGATGATAAAAAAAATTAAGCCTTATGTTTTTGATAAAAAAACAACCTTTTAAACAAAAATAATAACCATAAATAAATGGATACCACTTTTGCAACAGGCTTGTGTATTTTACACAACCTTGTAATTACCATGAAGGTATACATACTATAAGTCTGAAAGTACTTAATGTATGTACCTAATAAAATTTAGCAAGTTTTCAGTAAACATTACAAGTCTTTTGTACACAAAAAATCTGAATTTTTAATTAAGTATTTTTACTAAAAATATGTCTATAAATATATGGAATCAAATTGCTGACTGCTTTGAGTGCAAACTGATTTTTATGTTGAGATTAAAAATGATTTTCTTCATCTCAAAATTTTAAAATTTCATTGGCATAATCTTTGAAATCCTAAATAAATATCAAACTTTTTTTCAGAAAAACTTTATGTTTTATCCCTATTTTTCTCCCCTAATTCTAAACCCAACTTCGAAACCACAATAAAAAATTACGAAATAAATCTAAATTACCCTTTTTTTCTTTCTAGAATGACTGCAAATGTTAATAGGAAACCACATTTATTTATCCTAAATAGCTTCAGGCTCATAACAGCATACATCTATATTGCCTAATTAATAATCCCATCACAAAAGTTGTAAATCACTTGGAGAATGCATAGCTCAAGTTACTGTATTAAATGATATAATGCACAAGCTGCTTGTAAGCATACCTTGTAAAAAACTTTTTTTTTCATTATCTTACCTTATCTAACTTAACAATATTCTGATTTTTACACTTTAGTTACTTTTACAATAATAAAGAATATACACGATAAAAAAGAAATACAGTATTTACCTGGGTTTTCTTTTTTTTCTGTTATATTAATGTCAATGAAACTTAAGCCTACATTTTTTTTTATATTAATGGTACAATTACACTAAATAATTTTTATTTAAGTAAATAATGTACCTAAGAACACAAAATAATAAAATACAAAAAAAAACAATGTATGATAACAAACATAATATTTTTGGCTTTCTAACTTTAGCATAAGAGCCTTTAAAAGCAGCAAAGCTTGTCAATGTGATTCTTGTGAGAACAAATTTGAAACTGAATGACGAAATAAATAATAAATAAACAACATAATATAATACATCATTTGATAGATTAAATCTTTTACTTTCTATTGGTTATAAATAACATAGTACAAAACTTCAGAGAGAACTACTGGCAATTTGTGAAGGAGAAAATGTGACAGATGGTTGTGGCAAGTGGGTCTGATTTTCTAGTTTATAGCTCTGTAAACAAATAACATTGAAGGATATAAAAATTATGCTTTGCCTCAGTAATATCTATAACATAACAAGTAATTTACCGTTTTTGTAGGGGTGATAAATAAATTAGAGAAGAGGGAAGAACTAGAAAACAAATGTCACAATCATCATATAATTTTGTAAAAGGTTGTGACTTACACATTTTGACCTACCCAACACAAAAAAAAAGTTCATTGAAATTCATAATATCTAAAATAGATAAACAAAAAATCACTTTATACAATAATAATGATCATCACCTTCATTTCAGTTTTATGAAAATACAAGGTTGCTGATGGTCTATTATGTTGGACCTTCACAATCCTAGATCATGACAAAGGGGAAAAGCAGAAGGAAAGATTTCCTTCCCATGCAGTTCAAAACTTATGAAAAATTGAATATTTGAAATATAGAAATTAGAATTTATTTTCAAAATAAAAAACAATTATAAACTTTACTGCATATACATCTGATGCCATCCACAAAATAACAGGAGCATAAAACCTTTATATGTAAGGCAATAAATTATATATAGAATATAAACACAAAATATTCACGATGACATTGAAGTTTGGTAAAGGAAACTGTTCTGGAAAGGTCATGAACAGTTCAAAGAGCAAACTTAAGTCTTACCAACAAAAAATAGTAAAATACAATATCAATGTAAACTAAATATTCTTAAATAGATGGCAACTAAAGACTTAACTGTTCCAAAGGAGAATAACACAGGTTCTTACCCTCATTCAGCATGGGTTCCAATGGATCAGTATGTCTCAAACAACTGTATACAATTTTTCATTTAATTTGTACATTTTCCACATGAAAATACTCCATTACTTTTACCTGACTGAATGCTGACTAGCACCTAAAGGATCCTATAACAGCCTTTGTATCACTATCATTATAAACATTTACTGGTCAACATAAATGATATTGCCTACATATACAACTGACTCAGGAGGGAAAACCAGGAACAAGAGTACTTTGTGGGGTCATCTGATATTTCAGAGTACTATAAATCCCTAATCTTGAGGAGAACCTTCTTTAAAATAGGTAGTGGATGGAAGGCATAGAAAAATGTGACCAATCTTGTGACAAGCAATCTATTTTATCTAATATGGGTGACTAATAAAAAGATCAAAGGCTGAAAAAGAAATTGTATGTTGAGTATCACAACAAACTTAAATATCCTACAAAAAGCAATTTTTCACTTGGAAATCTAGAGATGCTTATTCACTTGGGAAAATTAAATCAGAGAAGAAAGCTTATCTACCACAAGATTACTGACTAGCTATATTGTTTAGAATATAATTTCCACTAATATGAATACTCCAATAATACAAAGGTGTCAAAACATAGATATTAGAAATATGTACCCTCCTACTTGTTAGCATATTAAGCAATAGATGTATTGTATTAGTAGAACAATACTACTTAATTGTTCATCTTAAACACAAACTTCCTATACACACTGTGCAATTCTCACACTTCCAAAGCAATGACGCATAAGGATTGGTATCATATGGAAACCTGAAGATGTCAGTGCAATACTTCTCCACCCAATACCAATGTTTCTGCACCACTGAAAGATTCAAGCATACCTGCTGATATTTGGGATCCCATCATATATTGGTATGAATGAAGAGGTTCCATTGTAAAAACAAACAAGTTTTTAGATCCAAGCCACTGAACAATAGTAAAGGCTCTCAAAAGAAACAAAAAGCTAGGCCAGTATCTACTTACCTATAAACAAGTCTTTTACCTTTCAAATTTACAAGAGTAAAACAACTCTGTTATGAGCAGAATAAAACTCCAACTAATTCAAAAACTAAGTAAGATGCAACTTGTATTTTTTAAAGCTAAACAAAGTACCATATTTTCTGTCACAATTCACAATGCATGTTAATCACCCACATACTGATACAAAAATATGTTACCCTATTACCTGAGCTCTATCAAAAGGTGTATCTTTGTTCTTCAGAGGCAAACAGGGAATGACTTGGTAAAGCAAAGTTTGAGATAAAGTGAAGTTTCAGAGATGTAATGCAGGCCACCATGGAAATCCAGAAGTGTTTTGAGTAACTTTCAATATATTGTTATAAATGTTTCTCATTTCCAGTGTAATAAATATAAAAAAATTAGAGGTAAAAATTGAGAATTCACAATACATGGACAAAAAAAATATTTTTCTGACAGAGAACAAACTAATGATTGAAAATCACTGATTCCAGAATGTAAATTAATATTGAAAGCCAAATTTCACAACAAAGCCCCATAAAACCTCATACATGGAAATGTTACATAGATGGCATAATTTTCATATAAACAGCCAGTTCTGAATCACTTAAAGACTTTATTTCCTATGCCAATACTTTCCACAAAACAATCAAGTTTACCCTCAATCACTCCACTACCCAAATTAAGCTTCTCGACATCACTGTCCTTTTAAAGAACAGAATATTACACAATGATTTTTACAGAAAAACTACCGACAGACCTCAATATCTTAACTATAACAGCAGCCACCCCACTCACACTAAACGGAATATTATCTGTAGTCAAGTTTTCCAAATAAAGAAAATCTGTTCAGATGAAACAAATTACAGAAAACACACCAATGATCTCTGTAACACATGTTACAATGAGGATATAAAGGTACCAAAACTGACAGACAGATTAAAAAAACTAATAATGCTAAATGAAAAACTATCCCTAAACAATGTAACAGTAAGGTCTCAAACAGGATTTCTTTTGTTCTTAGCTATCACTTTACTCTCAGAAACATTTCCCACATTCTGAATAAGATATTTTCATTTACTATAACTGAATGATTGCCTTAGAAAAATATTTCCTCAAGTTCCCATTGTCTCCTTCTGGATCAGCAGAAGTCTTAAAGATATCCTCATCCATACATAAATGAATTACACCCCATCAAAGAATTGTTGTCATCTATGTAATAAAGCTTGTTGTCTAGCTGCAAGTTTATAAAAATCACCAACTCTTTTCTCCAACAACTATGACCATAAACTTTAAAATTTCTAAAGAAATTACTTGTACAACACAAAATACCATTTCCCTCATACAGTACAAGTGTCAGGTTTTATAGGGCCAGATTCATTACAGTAGGTGTCAGTGACTTGTTGGCAATAAATTTCAACTATAAATAGACAGTACATAATTCACTTGTTTTAAAATGATTATATTCAAAACAAGTCAAACATATATACAAATGTTTGTTGCACAGTTAATCACCACAGTTGTACCCAGAGCTTTAAATAATCATCTCTTTTTCACCAAGAGTTCACATGGTCTGGTTCAATTACTTTAGAACTAAATTGACAAGCCTGTGATGGTTTTATGGTCTGGAAATTTTTACATGTGCTACAGCAATTCCTATATACTGAATCCGAAATTGATAACCATTTTTTTTCCACCACATACAGATCTTTCACAAAATATCATAACACAATAGATAAGAGAAAAACCACAACACGTAGAGTTGGGACTAAATAACAGACTTCACAAAAAAATTTCATTGTGGTAAACGAAATAATAATTTGATCTAAGTAAGTTTTTTCTTCCCGATTTGTAAAAAA